TTTGTGTTGTAAATTCAGGCTTTCGAAATCATGTCAAAACTAGCTCGCAAATTGTTTACAACCTCAAACTGTCTGACCAATGAGAACATGCTTTAGTTTAATGATCATTTCACAAATCCCAATCCACTGAAAACCCCATTGCCAGTGTGTACTTTTAACCACACTACACATATCTATATTTAATGGAAGAGAGCCCATTTTTAAAACACGTGACACCAAGAGGGAACCAGATCCCATCGATGAGCATCTTTTCTAATTTGCGGAACCCAAGACGCGCTACCGTGACATCACCCCCTTTGTCAAACGCAGATCAGCGTGCAGTCAGCAGACTCATTACTATATTTCGGGAACACACGGACACTTAATGAGCACACTCGATACAGGGACCTCAACACAATGCTCAAATGTAAAGGTATTAAAAAGAGACCCAAAAAAAATATACAAAATTGGTGTGCACATCCCAAACACCCAAATTGGGCTCAGGTGCAGGACAACTGAATGAAGTAAACAAAAATAAAGAAGTGTGAAGTCCGCACACTGAAAAGGTCCTGCTCCAAAAATTTATTAAAAAAGCAACGTTTTTAGACCCTCAGGTCTTCATCAGGCACGACATGCTTTTTTAATAAATTTTTGGAGTAGTACCTTTTCAGTGTGCGGACTTCACACTTCTTTATTAAAAAGAGAACCCCAATATCCATTGAGAACTCAGACTACAGAGGCTTTCAAAATTCTTAGCAATTTATAAACAAATGGCACTTGGATATATTCTTATCTAATGCATTGACATTCATGTATCCAAATACTTTCAGGAGCCTTCATGTATTTTCCATACAGGGGTTTTAAAGCAATTAAACCATGCTGAATGATTATTTTTTGCGAGTTAGAAGGCATACAGAAAAACCTCTTGCTCGCTTGAATTAATTCTTGCTCTCCACCTCCATCAGATTTGTGTAGAGGAATGTAGATCTCACATAAATAGGTACTTTGTGTTGGGATAAAATGAGAAAGCCTGCTGATCCCACAATGAGGTGACCATCAAACCAAGAGAAATAAGAAATTATCTAATCTTTCATCACTTGTTTTGGTTTTATCAAGCTATTTGAGCAATATTTTTTCCCCTGTAGAACTGATGAAATAGCAAGCCATTATCTGAACCAATGCAAGAAAGGATTTTCTGATCAAACAATTAGAAGAGCAAAATAAACATTTTTTTAAAGTCAAGTTCTTACTGTTGACAGACACCGTCTGCATTGCAAAGTCTTTAAAAAAATCAGCACCTGAAGGATCTGTCACGACAGGTATAGACACTGCAAGATTGCTCAATAGTATTGTTGTAGGCCATTATGTAAAAAAAAAAAATCGGTTGAAAACAAACTAAAATTATTCTTAGAACTGTGGTCTATCTATTTGCTGTGGTTGTACATAATTTAACATGCCATATTTACATCTTTCATAACCCTTGCACTACAAACAGAAATAAAAAGCAATGACCACATATTTGCATATATATTGACCTAATCAGCAGTGACATTCACAGGCAATAACCGGCAGGAAGTTAATGCCATATTTGGAGTCAGGTCAGTAAATTGGCCTTCAGGCTGAACTATGAGGGATGCTAATTAGGTCTCTTCTCTCTCTGTCAGTCTCTGTCTCACATGCACACACACAAACACAGGAGTAGAGTTTCCAGCACACCTGCGCACCTTGTCAACGGGTATCCACTTTCACACCAACACCGACCTACTGTCCTTACACAGGTCACAACCTCTTTTCTCTAGCAGGAAGAGGACAGCAAGAATGTGAAGAGTGTTGTTATCTGAATTTTGCAAAAAGGTTCATAAATTGGTTGTCTGTCCAATCAGTCATTTTGAGAATGTGAAAGGGACCATAAATGAACAGGGCTACAAAACCTGGAGGCACAATCATGAAGTCAGTTTGAAGTGAAAAGATGGTTATAGTTGCCAAGTCATTTTGTAACAGGATCATTTCTGTTATGTAAAACCTTTTCAAGTCAAGTCAAGTATATTTATATGGCGCTTTTCACAATATAGATTGCATAAAAGCAGCTTCACAGTATCAATCAAAACATAATAACAATGTTCATTTCTTAGTGGAAAAACATCCGCGTTTGGTAGAGCTAATCAAGGGTATTAGTGATTGGTTAATTAATTTGAAACCCCAACTGAGCGAGCCAAAGGAAACAGTGGCAAGGAACCGAAAAACTCCATCAAGTCATCTAATGGTGTCCTAAAACTCCATCAGGTGACCCAATGGAGAAAAAAAAAACCTTGGGAGAGCCTTTATACAGAACAGGTATATATACCACAAATATGATATGCTCAAGCTTAAGAACTTAATTTTATATGTGAATGAACAGGATTGAACATAACAGAATGGAAATAAAGAGCAGAATTGCATAGGGATTAGGTTGACCTAAGGTTATCAATAAAATACTTTTGCTTTATTAACACTTTTTAAATAATACAATACAGATATCAGTAATTTTATCAGACAATATTACAGTAGAAAAGCCAACTAATACTACAAAAAAATTTATAAATGCATTTAATTTAAATCCTGTCTTTTGCTATTGGAAAATATTAGTGATATTAATATTAGTAGCATTATATACAAGACTAACGGGGTGGGAAGTGAAAACTGGCATCCGTTCAATATACTAAGTCTAAGGCTAACACATACTGTATGATAAAAACAAATATACTGCATAACAAAAACATTCATTTATAACCCTGTGATGGGAATGCAGCATGTGCAATGTGCAAAAAAAAGCATCATCAACCAAATAGCATGACAAATACCTTGAAAACCTCTGAGAAGAAACCTGAGCCGATCTTCTCGCAGATAAAGTCATCTATTCGCGCCAGGCTGGACACGGCGCTGCGGAGAGCCCGGTAAGAGGACGGCCTGGCCCGGTGCGCTCCGTGAATCCCGTGCATAAGAGAATCTGAAGCCTCCGGGTCCAAGTCATCTTGGTCCATAACGAAGGTCCCGAATGACATTCTGTCGCGCACTCTGAATTCTACCACGAGCGTTTACATATCTCTGACGGTCAGCCAACACTCCAGTAACGAGGTCACTGTAATTTTTGCCGATAAAAAGTATCCCGCCTTTCGATCAAGTTAAGAAGAGCTACACGCAAATCCCCGTTGCGCGTCCGGCGCGTGACCGATCTTCAGGTCTCGAGCATCGCTTCCTCCATACTGATGTCTGCCCTCTTTTTCAGTAATGCATCACATTCCTGTTTCAGATAAGAAATGAGAATCGATGTCAACGACACATATATTTATATCATCTGATCACAGTCCGCTTAAAGTGTGTTGCAAGAGCAAGTCTTGCGGTCAGTAGCTATGTTTGGTGAAGTTGAACTAGAGTAGCCTAAATGATAGTGCACATCTTCCGCTACAGTCGGACTGCGGATAGCCTAATGCATTTCACATAGAAAAGTGAGCTCCTTCGCTCTGTCGCTAAAAACCTAAAACTATATTTATACCGTTATTTATCATTTTACAGTAACCGTGTTAGAATCAATTTCATACATTTACCAACATGTCGTGTATCGTGATTCAACTCGGCTTACCTGCGCTGCTCTACAGGTTTTAACTTATCGAGTCTTCGCTTCACCACTTTCCAGGTTTCTGTCTTTTGTAAATATCCTAAAATTCTCGGATGCGACTGCTCAACTCCCCTCGTGTTTTCATGAAAGCGACTAAACGGGGAACCCCTACTGGCATTTGTGCATGTAACGTTAAAGTCGCAGGAAATGTGTGCAGAGTGACTTTGAGCTCTTATTGGAAGCGACACACCTGGGCGGGTCCAGCAGCAGCGGCGGCAGATCACCTGCAGGGGCGCGCGCACGCCTACTGTAGTGATGAAACGGGGTACCACGCCCCCACACTTTTAGTATATTATTATATTTACAATATACAATATTTTTTTTTATTTAGGCAGTAATTCGCTAGTTTTAGAACTTATTTTATGTCAAACAAGTGTGCGAATTACACAATATTATTTTTTTTTTATAATTTTTTTAACTACTTCATTATTAAATGAATCTAGCTCAGTCTGTCGAGAACTATGGTCGAGAATGCCAATTTGCCAAATTGCCACTAACACAATTAGCCATAAACGTCAATAACAATTAGGCTAAGGTCTTATTATATAGGCATATTTGTGATATGCAAATGTAATACATAACGGCATTGGTTATTATTTAATTAAGTCAATGAATGCACTATTTACAAGTACAGTTGGTGAATAATTCTATAGCCAATTATTTCTGATCGTGCTTTGAGAAACTTTATACGAAGACAACAACATGCTAAATCTATGATGTATGAATTATTGAGTAACACTAACGTCAGTGTTGACTTATTTATGAACTTAAAAGTGTTTTGACGAAAGCATTGGACACCCTTCAGTTCTTTTAAGTTTATTACATATATATAATTCACGAAATATATAATACAAATCTATTTAAAAAAACGTTTACGGCTTTGTTTTAGACACCCTTTAGCTTACTTCGGATCTATCACCTTTTGACTGATGAATTTCAGTGCAAGAGCACATCTCACGGTAAATAAAGCACACATCTGGCCTCTTGAATAAATGAGTCATGCTTGAGCGCACAGAGCTTATTAAATTGCTCTTCTTGCTGTTGTTAATTGGTATAGAATTGTTATTGCATGCAGCAGAACATGAAGGAGTGTGTGTCGTGCGCTGCTCATTCTACTACTCTATACTGCTGCCATCTAGTGGCATGAGACTAAACACAAAATAATGTGAAAGATTAAGGGGTCCACACTTTTTAAATCATGCATATATACTTAAAATATGAAAACATGTTTTATACACTATAGGAATTATTGTTGCAATTAGCTATCATCACAACTTAATAATGTATGTATTAATTTAACAATGTATTAACAATGTTGGGAAAACTGTTTAAATAAATGAAAGATATTTTATGGATAAACGTCAGATATTTTATTATTCCAGGCACTAATTGAAAAGGTATGATTACATACAGGTCATCATCGCATCATTACAGTTTGACAAGCATAAAATAATTTTACACAAAAATGAAAAGCATTTACCATTACTGCATTATGTATATTTGTACAGTTCATAATCAAAATCTCTAAGCAAAAGCATATACATATTTCTTGATTCAGATTCATGATTATTTATATATATATATATTTTAAATCATCTTCATCTAAGACCTCTTATTTTAGGTTTGTTTATTTTTTGTAACTGACAGGTGAGATGATCAGTAATGCTGAATGTGTACCTTTATCATTAGACCAATGGCTTAAATATGGATAGAGTTTCTCAGTAAAAGACTGATCGGTGAAAGAGTAGATATGAGACCTGGCCTCCACATCATCAAATGAGACCAGACCCTCCTCATAATCCACAAACACACCCACCTTCTGGGGCTTCTTATTCAGGGAGAGAGACACAGGGGAAGAGTCACCCGCTTTATACATGTTTCCATTACTTTGCCACAAACACCAATTTCCATTCCCAGGACACGGGTACAGATCCCACTTCCTATGGATTGACTTGCCACACCTAAACACCACTGTGTTATTCCCTGTACCTCAAAATAAAACCTCCCAGAGGAAAAACCCTCCTTTCCCAGCACAATACATTTATCAAACCTCTTGTAATTGTGTGGATAGTCATGCATTATGTTTCCAAGTCGCACTTGTTTTCCATCTTCAGATAGAGTCATTTCAGGGTGTGCTTTATTAGGATCCAGAGTCACATCCACTGAGAGAGACAGAGAGAGAGAGATTTTGAATCACAGCTTCATAACTGAAAGATTGTGGAATAACAAGTTCAACCGGAATCCTGTAAATCGCTTATCAGTTAATTTAAGGCACTGTGAGAATATATATAGGGAGTATCATACACTGTACCTGCATACTGCTGAATCCTCTTCATCACTGTGACACACATGATAACAAAAGATGATGAGATCTTTAGTTACATATAGACATTTATGAATTGAATTCTTGTTTAATACTATAGGGCAAATGATACACAGCAGACTGATGCATGACATGTGATTAAATGCACATGCTTATTTATGAATAAAACATCTTTGAAAGAATGCAATGACCTTATTTGTATCTGTGCTGTATTTGTGTTGTATTTGTTTGTGATGAGAATGTGTGGCATGGCTGTGGGGCCAGTGTGTTGTTGTAAATTAAGTGGTATATGTGGGCATACCAAGACACATTCCTATCAATTGTATTGTTGAAATGGCTAAATAAATTGACTTGACTTGACTTGACATTAGCAACCTGGCCTTTTTGAAAAGTGACTGTTTGCAAAAGTTTGATTCTGTAATTGTTGATTAATTGAGATAAGACAATTACTGTGACATGGAAATCTGTGCAACCACAAGTTTGACTGAGTTTCTTAACTAGAGTGTCCTGCAGCTGAGCCAGAGCACTCCTCAAAGTCTCCACACTCTCGCAAGTGTTAATACTGATCCCAGTCCAGATCTTGGTGTCTAACGGGCTGCACAGGGATGGATAAATCTACAGCGAGAGAAGAGAGAAGTATGTTGAGTGTTGTCCTGTGATGTGTTGCGAGCAGACAGACAGACACTGACCTGTAGGAGGTGCAGGTGATCTTCAGTGTGTGAGAGCTGCTCCAACTCAGTGTTTCTTCTCTTCAGCCTCGTGATCTCCTACTCCAGCTCTTTAATGAGCTCTTCAGCCTGTTTCTCTTCTGCTTTCTGCTTCTGCTCCATCACCTCCAGCAGCTCAGACTGACAGCTCCCAAGGGAGCGAGCGGATCAGATCCGAGAACAGCTCAACACAGTCCGCTTTCTCTTTTTCGGTGTTCTTCTGATTAGTCAGAATCATGGGAAAACATCCTTTATTTTTCAAAACTTTTTAAAAATGTATCTAACAAATAAATTAAAAAAATCATTTTTTTAATAAATATTATAATAAATTATACATATAATATAAACTGTATATATGAACAAACTTGCTTTTCTCAGCTTTATCGAGTGTTGGATATCTTTAGTTTTCATTATTCTGTCTTGGATCATTTGCAGCCCCTCTGTCTTCTGTGACTTCATTAGCAGAGTCTATAGACAGAACAACAGCAACACAAAAAATAATAATGTTAATAATAGTGCCTTAACCCTAAAACCGTATTCTGGACAAATGTGAGCAAAATAGTTTTGATTTATTTAAAAAAAAAAAAAAAAAATACTTCCCTTGATCTGAGCGGTACATGACTTTTCCTTCTACAAGTTTGGTACAAGTTCGCCTCCTGAACACACACAATTTTTTTTGACTCAATTGTACAATGTTAAGTGGATGAAAAAAAACTTGTTAATCTTGTATTTGGGTTAAAAATGGGCACCCATAGAAATGAATGGGAAAAACTGTAATTAGAGCATTCTATATAAGACATCAGGTGACAGCAAAGTCACTACATCTTTAGGTTTTAGCTCTAAGAACTTATTGGAATGATATTTTAATGTAGTTAAAAAAAAATAAAACATAAAAATAAAGCATCATTTACAAAGAAAATATGGTACTTTTTGAAGTAAATAAATTCAAAAATACCCCCCCCCCCCCAAAAACAAAAACAAAACAAAAAAAACCCACCATAAATGGATAGACAAAACTTAAACGAAGACAGTGATAACATTTATAATAAATAAAAATTAGAATCACACCTGAGTCCTCTGTGCCCATATCACTGGCATGGCATCTTACAAACAGAAGTCATTGGCACATGCGGTTTTCAATGGAATGTGCAAGCGAACAGAATAAATGCGCCCAGACATACTGAATAAGAACATGCCCTATGGCAAGCCGTATTGTTCAATTGTTGAGATCATACACATATATATATATATATATATATATATATATATATATATAAAATATAAGCATAAATATAAGTTTACAGGACAGTTTTTTGTATTGTACAAGAATGGGACCCTCCTTAGATCAAAGTATTAACCTGGATTTTTCCTTAATTTTCTCAACCCATTGTCCATTATTGGCCCGAGTGTTGCATCTGCACCTACAAAACCTTCTCATTTACAAAATGGACTGTATCATACCTGTGATATACCATATCACAGCTGAATCACTCAGTGTTTGATCATTGGCCAGAGAAGAACTCTCCTCCCGACTGAGCCTGGTTTCTCCCAAAGTTTTTCTCCTAAGACCGGTCACCTGATGAAATTACAACGGAACTGAATCAACATGAACTGACTTCACCTGAACAGCAGCCGAAATGCATAATTTACTGTTATCACTGTAAAACTGCTTAGAAACAATCTGTATTGTATAAAGCGTTTTATAAATAACAGTGACTTGATAAATAAGTGTGGTGACTCTAAGTATTGTGATTGACACACGAGATAAATAAGGTCAAAGTTCACCGTCTACAGGGCTGAAATGCTAGGGGTGTGGCATATGTACTGCATACTGCTCTTTTCTTCTTCTGTTGCTGCATGATCTCTGCTCTTCCCACAATGGCTTTGACAATCGGAGAGCGTGTGCAGCACTGCCTCCTGGTCCTCGTGCCTAGGCTGTTCTTGGCTCTCTTTAGGCTGGTCTCACCCGGCTCAAAACAACCAAAACATCTCCCTCCTATCAGAAACCCACTGCTTACTTTCTCTGCAGTGCAACTAGCTGAGAAGATACGCAGAAGAGAGGTTTGGGCTTTCATTTGCATTGCATTAGTTCTGTCATGGTTGAGCATTAGCGAATGTATAAAGGCTACTTGTGAACTTAATGAATGAAAAGAAAATCAATATAATCAATTATTTTATCTTGGTTTTTTGGTGTGTTTTTTTTTTCACTATTATGCAAGGCAACCATGTCTGTAGTGTGCACTAAAAGAATGACAGCTCAGCACCAAACTTGAATGTAACTTTTTGCTGTAACAGTGTCTCTGTTCCAAAGGTATAAATCAGGCATGCTTTATTGCATATATCTATATAGACTGGGCTGTAATCTTGAGTTCTCTTGTTGACTTGGCTTGATTTGACAAAAGAAAGTCATATAACTTAGATTTGGAACGACATATATTAAGCGGGGGACGTGTCCCCCCATGTAAATTTGTCCCCCGCACTTTTTCATAGGGGAAGTGTTCACGACATGTTGAGGTTTTCGCAAGCCAATGTGTATTTATAGATACAGATTTAAAATGCAAAGAGAAAAGATCGTCTATGTACTGTATCTACACGTGACTTTCACGTTGCCATGGTAGTAGTCACTCGCGCATCACCACACGCCCGTGCTCGCACCCGCACTGAATCCATCGTCGAGGGTCGAAATGAATTCAAAACGGCAAAAAACACTTCACACTTTTTTCGCAAAAAAGTCAAGAACTGTAAGTTGTAATGTGGTATCTGAATTTGGTTGCTCATTGTCATTGATGAATAACTTTGCCTAATTTTCTGCCATTATCTAACTTATTTGCTTGAATCATGCAGCGTTGCACTTGACTTGTAACATGTGTACATGAAGTTTACCATATAATAAGGTAACACTTTACAATTAGATTAAAAAAGTTTGTAGACAAACGTTAAGTTTTCTTTAAAAAGCCTAACCAGAAAGTTTGAAGAAGTTTTAAAAGCATGAAGTTTGAATGTTTTCAATATGAAAGACAGTTTTGGTTAAGTAAAACAAACAAACAAACAAACAAACAGACAGACAGACAGACAGACAGACAGATAGATAGATAGATAGATAGCTAGATTGTTAACTAATGAAACCTTATTGTAAAGTGTTACCATTCAAAATAAATGCAGTATGCAATTGTAAAAAAAAAAAAAAAAAAAAGGTATAATGCTTGACATTCTGTCCCCCTCACTTTTGAAATGATTGCTACGCCCCTGTATCAATGGAGAACATTTTTACATTTCGCTTTTTCTTTTTTTAAAACTTATTTAAGAAAAAATAACTTTTTTACACTATAGGCACTGCAAAGTATGATAAACAATGTTTACAGGATCCTCTGATAATCTCTGTGAGTGATTATGTACGCAAGTAAAAGAAGTCCTAAAACAACATCACTTCACTTAGATATTCACCACTGTAGATAGAGCTCGACTAAAACAACCACTGCTTGCCATGGTCTTTTGTAATTTACTGAAGATTAACCTTTTTGATTTGTAAATTCAGGTTACTAGTGTGGAGGTTGTGCAGGCATACATTGACAGAATACAGGAAGTAAACCCACTGCTCAACGCTTTGGTCAAAGACAGGTGAGCACTCTCTTTATAGAGGTAATAACAACATTTACAGGCATTTCACTATAAATGTCCACTATCCTCCCTTTCAGGTTCTCATCCGCCCTTCAGGAAGCCGCTCATGCAGATAAACTAATAGAGGAGGAGAATGGAGGAGAGGAGGTTCTGAGGAGCCGATTTCCACTGCTCGGTGTTCCACTGTCTGTCAAAGAAGCATTCGCACTACAGGGTACACTTCCCAGAATCCTCTTTGCTCTCCATTCATGCACACAGCATCACCCTGACTAAGTTTATTTTAAGATAAAGTCTATTTGACTGTAATTCTCGCTATTCAAATAGCTATTTGCCAGCAAATATGACGTGGACATAAAATACTTAAACTTTATTTTGATAGTCCACTTTAGACATTCTACTAACTCCAGTTAGGGTTAGTAGAATAAGTTGACATTCATAGTTACTTGTAGACAGTCGCTAGAACGTCTGTTGGGGGACCATCAAAATAAGTTACTTCTAGTTAGATGAATGTCTAAAGTGGACCATTGAAACAACGCAATACCAAATATTGATTTGAATTGTTAGAATTCAATTGTTGTTCAATTGTTACTACTTGTATATTCTCTTAAAGCTTCTGCTAATAAAAAAGTCCATTCATTGTAATGTACAAGTGATTGTACTAAAATCACTTTGGTATGGACAATGTACGGTTTTAGACTAGTGCTGAAGAAAATATTGCTTCAGAATAAATTATATTTACACTTTTTTGTTTTTGCATTTTGATATTTTTTTTACGAACAAGCAACATTTTTACTCTGAAAAATGAATGACCGAGCACATGACAAGGCTTAATGTCGATCCCTGCTTTATAGGATAGTGGAAATTATTCATTTTTATGCTATCTGCTCCACAGGTATGCCCAATTCTGGCGGTTTGAAATCCCGGGGTAGAGTACTTGCCAGTGTGGATGCTCCTCCTGTGGCTCTGTTGAAGAGAGCTGGAGCCATTCCTCTAGGGGTCACAAACACCAGTGAGCTTTGCATGTGGATGGAGTCCAACAACCACCTCTATGGGATCACCAGTAACCCCTATGACCTCGAGAGGATGTGTGGAGGAAGCTCAGGTCTTGCAAAAAAAAGAAAAACAATTATAAACCTTATATAAATATTAAACTCATTAAGACTATACACAAATTAAAATTCTATGTTTTTTGCACTGATGTTCAGCTTAACATAACATTAAAAAGTTGATAATTAGCCATCAACTATTAACCACCGATTCTATCTTGGTAGGTGGAGAGGGAAGTATCATCGGTGGTGGTGCATCTGTGATAGGTATCGGTTCTGACATTGGAGGAAGTATCCGCATGCCTTGTTTTTTCAATGGGATATTTGGCCACAAACCTTCAAAAGGTATTCATTTTTTTTTCCGTAAGGACAATCAGAAAAACATCTATGTTAATAGGAAAAATAGGATGTATTTTATCATATAAAGGGAGGTTTTTAATTAATTTCAGATGTGGTTTTAAATGACGATCAGTTTCCCGCATGTTCTGGTCTTCAAAATGACTACCTGAGTTCTGGTCCAATGTGTCGCTACGCTGAAGACCTGCTACCTCTTCTGAAGATAATGGCTGGGCCCACTGCAGACAAGTACATCTCACATAAATATAAACCAGATAATGCATATATCATTTGTCTTTTGTTTTTTTACAAATTAGTATGAACACCAAGTATTATTTTCTAGGCTCTTCCTCTCAAAAGAGGTGGATCTGAAAAATCTAAGGTTCTTCACTGTAGTAGATGATGGTGGATCTCCATTGACATCTCCAGTAGACAAACAGCTTGTTGAAGCTCAAAAGAGGGT